AGGCTGTAATCTAAGATGAAGGCATTTCAGGATCAGCGTTCCGTTTTTCATACAGGACCTTCAAAAAGAGCCGAGTGACCATAAATGGAGAAAAACCTTCAAGTTAATCACCGTGGATGACCGACAGAGACTGGAACGCACAACCACGAGTTTAACAAAAGTTTTTTATCTTTATTATTATTATTATTATTTTTGTTTTTTTGTACACAGAATGAGAAACAAGTACATAAATCATGTTAGTGTTAATAAATTACAGAAACACATGAAATGCATTCTACTTTTCACAGATAAGCAGCTGGACGTTAAGATCACACGACCACCTAATTTACACACCTGAGGCACAAACGAAGAGTTGGTTTTCATGCCACATTTACACCAAAATACCCAACGTTAATACACATTTAGAAAATAAAATACGCACAACACGTCTCACCGTTCAGCAAGACGCCGCGGACTGGAAATCAAACCCGTGCAGGCGCTCGTGAAAACACATCACTGAAAACTGAAGTTTGCAGAATCGGTAAGAAATGGCAAGTCTCCATGGCTGCATATTAGTTTAGTGTTCGGTCACTTCATTGCAACCCTGAGTGGGCCGACGGGACACGACCGCGTCACGACGGACGCAAAGAAGCGGTATTGCCTTTTCTCCGAGTAAAAGATGATTTAGATAAAGTTTGATTACACAACGGAGTACAAAAACACAAAAACCAGGGTGGTGATAAAACGCAAGGCTGCCCTGGAGAAAACAAACGCACCTCACCGGGCCCAGAGTGCTGGACGGCGTCCGAGGGAGTCTTCGAAATGTCCCGGAACGTTCACAACGTTGGCTCGTGAGTCACAGAAACTTGCAGTCTCGAATTCTGAACATTTTCAAAATATTTGTGCGACAAACTTTCTCTCAAACTCGTCTTAGTTTTGTTGCAAACACCTCAGTCGTGTCTCAAACCGATCTCAACGTTGTCGCGGGTCTACCAAGCCTGTCCTGATTCCCTACTTTTGTTGTGGGCGTCTCAAACCTTTCTCAGTTTTGTTGCAAACGTTTTAAATTGGTCTCGAACTGTTCTCAATATTGTCTCGGGCAACCTAAACCTATCTCGAAGCCTTTTAAAAGTTTTCAAGTGCATATCAAACCAGTCTCGAACCCTTCTGAGTGCTGTTGCAGGAATTTTAAACCCGTCTCGAATCCTTCTTAATATTGTCAGCCGCTGTTCAAACTTTTCTTGAGTCCTTGAAACAACACGGTCAGATTTTGTCCCACCTCCACCTCATAGTTTGTCTTTTCTCCTCTCGGTCCGATTAGCCGGAGGTTCAAACCTTTTCCTCTCAAGTTCAAAGTCGGTAAATCTCCACGTGAACTCAAATCCAGTCTGCTCCGTTTTAAACCAAAGTGTGACGGGCTCTTCCTCTCAGCACGTAGCTGCAGTCAGAGGAAGCTGCCTCGACCACACGGACCTCACGTGCCCGACTCACTCGTGAACCGGCGCCGTATGTAACGCCATGGAGACTCCGTCGGTGATAATTTCACCAGAAAGATTTCTTACAATCTGCCTCAGGAGCGATCTTCTATCACCGTCAGCGAGACGAGGATAAAAACATTTAGAATAAAAATAAAAAAGTTACAAATTCTCTAAAAGAGTCAAGTTTTAAAGTTGGATTAAATGGCTTTAAATTAATTATTAAATTATTATTATTGCAAAAAGTATTATTTTTATTATTGGTGAACACACATATTCAAATAAAAACACAAATTCATACAAAGAGTTGATGCATTTAAAGTGATAATTCAGATCATTGAGAGAACATGAACAGTTATTATCTTACCTGCTGTAGATAGCTTTAGTTGAATTTTGATCAGACTGAGGAGCTCAAGGTCAATTTGAACACCAAAGTGGATGTTTGCCTGAAACAACTGCAAACATTTCATCGATGTTTGCTCCAACATGTTTGTTTTTTATCTGTACAACATCAATTTTGCAACACGCCATCATTTAAATTTAATTTAACTAATTTCAAGAGTCAAGAAAATTTATCGTCATTCTTAAACCTCAAGAACAAACCAGTATTGCAGCTGTCAGTTCTTATAAACCTTTCACTGTTGCCAGTCTAACAATACAGTCATTTTCTCAGGGATATTATGACCCCCCCCCCCCCCCCAGCTGTACAGGAAGTGCTACAGCTAACTGCTGCTGAGACTTTGTAATTTAGTCATGAGCTCATTGGTCCGGTCAGAATTAAACTCCCTTTACTCCAAACTGGTTGTTCAAAAAGCTATCTGTAGCAGGTAAGATACTGTTTATACCTTTCAACAAAAATCCCACTTCAAAAGAGCTGAACTGTCCCTTTAAAGAGATTTGACTGTTACGAATGAGCTAAGTATTTTTCTGCAGAAGTTGGTGTTAACCGTCTGACTGACATCTGTTTTATTCCCAGCATGCATTGCACCAGTAAGCTTTAATTATTTAACGCATCTTTTCTTCTCTTTGATCATTCATTTTCTCGAACATCTCGTCGTGCAGCTGCTGCCGTCGTCCTCAGCTCGTCCCCAAGATGAAGCCGGTTCACGAACTGAGAGCTGGACCAGAACCGCTTCGAACAAAACCCGACACTTCTGATTCAGAGTCTCCCTTCTAGGAAACACCAACGGCGTGCGGCGAGATAAAAGCCCGTTCTTCCAGAATCTCACTTTCTAAGAATCCGTGAATAAATTAGAAACATCGTAAAAGTGTTGGAGAAAAGTTACGATCGCAGAGCCGTCAGGATTTTCCAGCTTCGGCTCCAAATACGGCATTTCTGAAGCTCCGCAACGGCGAGAACGATGGAGGGTGTCTGCTGCCACCGCGGCTCAGGAACACAGTCAATCCAGCCAGAGAATAAAGGTCAAATATATGATAAAGGTCAAAGATGAGAGAATAAAGGTGAAAATGTGAGCGTAAAAGTCAACCATTATAAAATAAAGGCTGAGAATAAAGGTCAAAGATTTTAAAGTAAAGGCTAACAGTGAGAATAAAGGTCAAATACAAAACATTAAATGTCAAGTATAAGAAAAAAGGTCAAAGATTAGAAACAAAGGTAAAAGAAGAGAGAATAAAGGCCTAAGATACCATAATAAAGGTAAAAATGAGAGAATAAAGGTAAAATATTAGAATAAAGGCCAAATATTAGATAAGGTCAAAGATGGCAAAATAAGATCAAATATGATAGAATAAAGGTCAAATATGAGTGAGTAAAGGTAAACAATTATAGAGTAAAGGTAAAAGAAGCTATAACAAAGGCAAAGAAGACGGAATAAAGGTAAAAAAAAATAGAGTAAAGGTCAAAGATGAGAGAATAAATGTAAAAAAACGAGAGAACAATGGTAAAATATGAGAGAAGGTCAAAGACAACAGATAAAAGATCAAATAATATAGAGTAAAGGTAAGAGATGAGAATAAAGGTAACAAATGAGAGAATAAATGTCAAAGATGAGACTATAAAGGTCAAAGATGAAATAAAGGTCAAATATATAAAATAAAGGTCAGAGATGAAACTGTAAAGGTCAAAGATTTAATAATAAAGGTCATATATATAATAAAGGTAAAATAATAATGTAAAGGTCAAATATTATATAATAAAGGTCTGTTACAAATAAAGTCCAGTTGTTTTTGTATTGAACGCTTTTTGAATTCATCATGTCCTGAATGATTGAGAATCTTCACCAGCATATAATAAAGGTCACATATATATAATAAAGGTCAAAGATGAGAGCATAATAAAGGTCAAAGAGATACAATAAAGGTCAAAGACGAGCATGTTGTTCACCCTTCAGTACCAAGAGATCGTAGGTAGAACCGAACGGCAGCGGGGAGAAGATCTGAGCTGTGACGGAAGACGACGGCTGAGAGCCAGAACAGCATTTGACACCTCACGGAAAACAAACGTTAGGTTTGCTACGTGCCGGATGGTGGGGGGGGGGGGGGTTCGTTTTTATCCAAAAGCACTTTGGTAAAGTCGGGTCAAGGCATCGGCGTGCGCTCGCTGTGCAGCGTGGCTGCAGGACGAAGGTGTTCGCTGGTGAACTGACAGGATTCGGTTCAGGGTGAGAATATTGCCGTCTGAAAACAACGAGGAAGCTGCACGTCACATTAAAGAACACAGATCATGTTAAAGAACACGGCTCATGTTAAAGAACACGGATCATGTTAAAGAACATGGATCATGTTAAAGAACACGGATCATGTTAAAGAACACGGATCATGTTAAAGAACTCGGATCATGTTAACACGGATCATGTTAAAGAACTCGGATCATGTTAAAGAACACGGATCATGTTAAAGAACTCGGATCATGTTAAAGAACAGGATCATGTTAAAGAACACGGATCGTGTTAAAGAACTCGGATCATGTTAAAGAACTCGGATCATGTTAAAGAACACGGATCATGTTAAAGAACACAGATCATGTTAAAGAACACGGATCATGTTAAATAACATGGATCATGTTAAAGAACACAGATCATGTTAAAGAACACGGATCATGTTAAAGAACTCGGATCATGTTAAAGAACACAGATCATGTTAAAAAACACTGATCATGTTAAAGAACTCGGATCATGTTAAAGAACACAGATCATGTTAAAGAACCCGGATCATGTTAAAGAACACGGATCATGTTAAAGAACACGGATCATGTTAAAGAACTTGGATCATGTTAAAGAACACGGATCATGTTAAAGAACACGGATCATGTTAAAGAACCCAGATCATGTTAAAGAACACAGATCATGTTAAAGAACACGGATCATGTT